GTTAGCCAATCACGTGATTTACAAAATCAGTCATGCATACGATATCCCACATCAAATTTGATGTGGGAAATCGTACGCATGAATCGTTTGCCCAGGCCCTAATTCGAAAAAAAAGAAATCGAGTATGGGACGCCAATTAAATTAGGTATGGCGCGCACTAAGTGCAATAAAGAGTGAGTAACCTAAAATTAGGGCCTGGAACCCAGGCTAATTATAAAGATACAGATGAATGTTTTATTGTAGTATGTAGAAAAAGGAGACAAAAAGTATATGTAAAGAACTGGCTATAGGAATACGAACTTAAAACTCTAGAGTAGCAATAAGGCAATTGTGACAGATTGTATATAACGACGAATACATTCATACTTTCAACAAAAATCAGCTCGAATACCCTCTCAAAGGGCACGGCTTGATGCTTTTTTGAAGCAATGTGTCATTTTCATAATTTAATGGAATGTAAGTACAACACACAAATTACAGTATAGTAATTTATGTTACTTTTTATATTACAGCACTAGTGGGGATAATGTTGGGCATCCTTGGCTTCATATTAACTATTATTTGTATTGTTTTTATCATTAAACATCGAAGTAAGTATATCTCAACTATTACAGTAGACAGGGTCCAAATCCCCAAATTATGATTCAATAGGCAGTGTTGGGTAGAAGCTAGGATCCAGTTGATTTAGGCATTTTGACCTTGCTGATTACGTATCTGGTGAAGGCCAAACGAAATTCTTTTACTAATAGGCTAGGCAATCTAGCTCAAAAAAGAGCCAAAAGTCAAACAAATTGCAAACAAAGGTTTTTCTTTTTTAATCAAGTACATATGATGAGGGGATGAAATTCCACAAATCACACCTTGGTCACACCTCGGAAACATATGCAAATTAGCTAAAATATGCAAATTAGTTTGAAAATATAGGGGTCTCATATCTTGGCAACCGCTGGTCGCAGGGAGTTATTTTCTTTTTCAAATTATTCAGAACATGCATATTCCTATTTGCTCTAATGGAACATTAGCCCAACAAATAATTGGAAATAGTACAATTGACCTCTGACCTTATATTCACTGAATTTGCATATCTCTGCAACTAATGTATATAGAATCTTAATTTAGGTCTTAAATCATTCAAATACATGATTCTTTCCAATATATTAATCAAAGGGATGGAAATGTATAATTACACCATGATCGAATATACTGTTCATATGCAAATTAGCTCTAAAATATGCAAATTAGAAAAGAATGGGTTCCCATATCTTGGCAATGGCTAGTCAGAGAGAGTTACTTTTTTTTCAGATTGTGCGGAATATGCATGTTTCTATTTGCTGTAATGGAACCAAAATGACCCAAAATGCTAAAATTGACCTTTGACCTTATAATCACCGAATTTACATATCTCTGTCACTGCTTTCTGTAGAATCATGGTTTAGATCTTAAATTATTTAAATACATGCTTCTTTTCAATATATTAATAGAAAGGATGGAAATCTATCACACCATGTTCACATGTACTGTTCACATGCAAATTAGGTCTAAAATATGCAAATTAGGAATGAAAATATACGGTTCCAATATCTTGACAATGGCTGGTCACAGAGAGTTGCTTTTTTTTCAAATTGTACGGAATATTTGTTTATATTGGCTCTAGTAGAACACCTGTTACCAAAATGGCCGGAAATGATACAATTGACCTTTGACCTTATATTCACTGATTGCGTCTCTGCGACTTATGTCTGTAGAAACTTTATTTAGAAAACTTCAAATTATTAATTTAAAAAAAAAATAATAGCAAGGATAAAAATCTATAATCACATTATAATCACATTCATATGCAAATTTGCTCTAAAATATACAAATTAAGAATGAAAATATAGGGTCTTTTATCCTAACATTTTTTTTTACAAATTGTAAATATGAATATTTAAGTTGGCCTTATCGAACATTTGCCGCAAAAACACATGCTACAATTGAGCTTTGACCTTATATTATTGGTCATTATCCTGGTCAAATAACATTTTTATGTGATGATAGTCATTGATGATGAACCTAATAATATTTTTCTGAAGCTATTAAGGTAAGATGTTGAGGTGGGGCTAAAATTGGGATACCCTAAGTTATATATTTTACCTTCTTCTTATAACAACATTAAGAAATTATTAATAAGATAGCACTCCGGGACTAAGTTTGAAAAGATAAATTTAATTAACACAATACTTATCATATATACTTATAAATCATTGTAATATATTGAGCCACATATTTATACTTGTGATATTTGTTATATATAGGACCAAAGGATGTTTCATAAATAGAAAGTTAACATCTATCGCAGATTTTAAGATTCAACAGATGTTTAAACTTAACTATAGAAGATGATCCCGATGATTGGTAGTTATGGGCAACATGGGTCATAATATGTTTGAGTCATTTTTTTGTCATAACTTCTCTAGATTAGAAATATATATTATATAAAATACAGGCATACTTTCTAAATAATTTGAGACACCAATGTCAAGTCTCTTGACCAGTAGTCATAGAGTTACATGAAAATATAGAGAGGGAAGCTGGTAATAAACGATGGCATTAGTGACTTTGGAACAAACGTTTTATTACAGAGAACATCAAATAATATTTTCAAAAAAATACTTATTTGATAATTATGATCAAATATTCCATTTCTGCATGTTCTGAATAAACAAAAGGAAAGCAGCTATTTCTGCTTCTAATTTTCATTGATAAATTTGTTATGATCTTGTAATTATATTTTTGTACGAATTGAAAAGGAATTAAATAAATTTTACTTTGAATTAAATATTTAGGTAAACTGCATATAGAGAATGTAAGTGGCCAGGGTGTGATTTCTGGAATGTCATCACATATACTGTACGGTGAATCAAAACCTGAAGTATACCGGTGCATACATATTACAATACTCAAGCAAATAGAAACTGCAACTTCTAAGTGTGAAGAAAGAAAGCAACTACTTGACACCAGCAGTTTTCAAGATATGAGAACCCTATATTTTCATCCCTAATTGGCATAATTAAGCCGATGACGTAAATTTTATATACAGGAATGGGACATGTGACAAATATATTGTTTAAGATACCCTTTAATAAAATAAAAAGAAACATGAATTGAACAATATATTAGGTTTCTTCAGATATTTGTGTCAGAGATATACAGTAAGACACTGCATTATAATAATTTAAGACATAAATCACGTTTCTACTGGTATTATTCACAGAAATATACAAATTCAGTGAATATAAGGTCAAAGGTGAGTTGTAGCATTTCCGGTCATTTTTAGGGCAAATTTTCTAATAGAGCGAATAGAAACATGCATGTTCTGATTGAATTGAAATAGAAAGCAACTCTCTGCGACCAACGGTTTCCAAGATATAGGATTCTTATGTTTTCATTATTAATTTGCATAATTAAGAGCTAATTTGCATATGAAGAGTAAATGTGACTATGGTGTGATTATAGAGTTCCATTCCTTCTATTAATATAATGCAAAGAAACATGCATTTGAATGATTTGAGACCTAAAGTAAGTTTCTATGTACATTAGCCACACAGATAGGCAAACTCAGTGAATATAAGGTCAGAGGTCAATTGCAGCATTTCTGTTCATTTTGTTAGGCAAATATTCCATTAGAGCAAATATGAACATGCATGTTCTGTATAATTTGAAACAGAAAGCGACTCCCTGCGACCAGCGGTTGCCAAGATATGACAATGTTTTAAACCTAATTTGCATATTTTAGCTAATTTGCATATGTTCCCGAGGTGTGATTTCTGGAATTTCATCCGCTCATCATATGTATTTGATTGAAAAAGAAAAACCTTTGTTTGCATTTTGTTTGACTTTAAATGCTAGATTGCCTAGCCTATAAGGGCCGAAATGGCCGCTTTTATGGTAAAGTATGAATTTTTGGGGAAAAGACTAACACTCTGTATTACGGTTACTATATATCATAAAGAGTTGTTTTTTGGTACCAAATTATTTGGAAGACACATGTTTTATTAGCTATAATAAAACATTTTCCCCACAAAATACTAGGAAAAAGGTATATTTACCAAAAACCCGTTTTTTGTCCAAAAATCAGGATTTTTTCATAATTATCTTTTTTCAAAGCCATCAAACAAATGATAGCTAAAGTGACAGCAATGAAAATTAAGAAAACGGTTTTGATAAAAGTTTGAAAAAATCAGGAACACTCCGTAACTCTGTTAGTATTTGTGCAGGAGAGTTAAGCTTGGTCTCATATTAATCAGAATACATATATTTCCATTAGCTGTAATGGAAAAAATCGTCAAAATAACCAGGAAAATATTTATCAGCTAAACCTGGTTTTTCGGGCAAAGCATGTAACTTTTACCATTTTGTTATTTTCAATGCCATAAAATATTACAATTCATTTAATTCCGGCAATTGAGCTAAAATTACATTAATACATCACAAACAAATATATAAGTTTTAAATTCTTATACTTTTTTATATGCATACAGATTTACATAATTTTTACTTTTAAAAAGCCGGTTTGTAAAATTTTGCAAAATCGAAAACTCTGTATACTCTGTTTGTATATGGGCCGGAGAGTTGGATTTGGTCTCATATTACACAGAATACATATAATGTAAAAATTTGATTTTAAGCCAATTAGGCTTAATCTCGAGAAGAAGCCCATCTCCAATTGAAACTCTCTCTTTAGTTAGCAAAATTAGCCTCGAAAAGAAGCCTATCTTGCAAAATTAAGAACCCATGGAATTCTTTTCAAGATAGTATAGGCTTCTTTTCTAGATATTACAGTATATACACTGTATATGAATTTCAAAGAAACAAATTAAATTAAAAAACACGCTTGTTTTATACAGTAGCTTAGGTTATTTTATGCCGGCTCACTCCATGATAGAAAGTTGATGTAACAGTGACCCTATTTATTGTTTTATGGTAATAATTTCCAAAATTTACAACATTTAGTTTGAAAAGAAGCCCCCTGTTTACTTTGCAAAAGTAGCTTCACAAAGAAGCTCATCTCAAAAGGAAGGCCATCTAAAGTTGGCAAGAAACAAGAAGCACAGGGCTTCAATTCGAGGTTTAACGGTATTTCTATTAGCTGTAATGGGAGAATTTCTTCAAAAACTACTATGAAAATATTTATTAGTAAATTTTTAAAATTGGCTGTTGAGGATAAAAACATAATGAAATAGGTTGCCTGTATTTGCTGACCTTATACATGCGTGCACAGTTAGTTAAAATGGCGTGTCTAAATAGGCACTCAGTGCATGTGGATGGTCATAATACTGAACGTTAAGGACAGGTACATTTTTGGGTGGACGATTTAATGAAACTATATCATAATAACATGGTTAAATTAGAATTCTTTAAAATAGAAACTTTGTAATAATGTTACTCTGGTGTAACATGCAATGGTCAAGTAGCCAGTAATTGAGTGCATTTTAAATTAAAATTTGATTCGTATTTGACCAATAATAAATCAAAAAAACAAAACCCATTTTGCAAAATTGCAGTTTGCCAACTCAAAAATCAGGAAATCAAGTTTGCCGAAAAACAGTTTGCTGAAATTCAGATTGCCGAATGTTTCACCGAGTGTACTAGAAGAGATTTTCTACTATTCTACTTGTAAAAGAACAGGGAGAAGCAGCCTACTTTTTTGGTAAACGTAATGGGTGGATCGGACGGAGCCGTATGCCTATCGGATGCTTGCCAAAGCTTAGACAAAATATATGATTATGTTTTCTACAAAAATTAATATGACTAGTTCGTGTCCTCATTCTCATCACTATCGATGATACAGCTGCGGTGCTCTAGTGGAAGATTTAGATAATTCGAACATTAACACTACAAGTTTATCCGACTGAGTTAAGCTGCTCTGATTGTCTGTACTGACATTTTGGAAACTGGATTCGGCCAAGAGGGATTTGGGTTTAACAACTTTTGAGTGGGTTTTTGTTTGGAAAAGTGGCGGCAATCTGGCCATATCTTCGATGCTGTAGTCTGAAGTTGATGGACAAAAAGACTCATTTTCGAAAGATATGATGTTTGATAAAATTATCTACCAATAGGCACTGTATGCCAGTTGTGCAACTTGGTGGATGTACTAAAGTTTACCATAGTGAAAACTTGTCGGAAATATAATCAATGAATTGGATAAAAACATATCATCCAAACAATGTATATCACAATGAACAATAGTTACCGGTATATAGCGCTAATTGTAGGAACAACTGGGTAACATTGTTAGAATCAAATTTCTATACATTTTATTCTTTATTAAATTGAGTAAAATAACATACCTCCTAGCTACTTTCATACCAAAATCAATAAGTGTAATTGTCATGGCTGATATATATATATATATATATATATATATATAATAATAATAATAATACTAATAATAAGGAACTTGTAATTTCACTCTACAGGCTGTTTCATGCACTAGGCAATCTTCAGGAGTGAAGGGAATTTCAAATTTGACGTGTATATGTAGAGTTGGGCCGGTGTAGATGCAAATTAGGTATTATGTGTTTTTGAGTAGG